AATTTTTACTTTTACTTTGTGAAAACTGATTGCATCTACTCAAATTTAAAACTTTTTATCGGTTACCGATTCGGTAACCGTTCGAATGCTCAACCCTACTTATATAATAAAGCCTTGGTTTAACCAGGGAAAGAAAAAAGGTAAGAAAAGGTTTAATTGGCATTAACAGTTTCACATAGATCAGTAATATGCATCAAACACCTTAATCATATTAAAATTTAAATTTTTATTAAAATAATTGTAATATTTCTCTCATTTCCCAATATTTCCCTCGTTAAAAAAATAAAAAACACCTAACTCAAAGTTAATTGTTATTTATCAACAATTAGTTATATGGCATCTACACCAATAAAGAAAAGTCTATCATACCAACCAATAAAGATGTAGAACCATAATATAAATACATTTGTAAGGACAGGTCCGAGGTGCCAAGCCTCGGACTGCTACAGTAATTCCTTTATGACCGAAGTGATGAATGAATCCAAAGCTTCCCGCTCAAATAGCTGCATGATAATGACAATAAACATGTCCGCACCTGATTCCTTATGATGAGTGGTACAGCAGGTATGGTGGACACCCGTGCATCTGAATACCTCTCAAATTCCCAGTCCCGGAATAATCGTCTGGATAGACACGTCAGGCTCCGATTATCTTGCTTGGCATGACACGTGGGTTCCTCATTGGATCCTATAAATACCCCCCCCAGGCCACGTCAAAAAGGTAATTGAAACCTACCCTAAGCTCTTTTTATCTCCGCCCTAAAGGTAGCTCCAATTATTGCTGACTTAAGTATCGGAGTGTCTACCCCGAGTTCCACCTCAGGGCTTTGCAGGTCATCCGGGAGTGCAGGCGCGGACTGAAGAAGGGCTTCTGGCTTGGTGCAATTACATTGGCGTCGACTGTGGGAACCGAACTGAAAGCTTGTTAGTTGCTCTTTCATCATGGTTCACACTCGATCAGTCAGAGCTGGTAATTCATCTCTGCCTCATGGGCAAGGTCAACCCTCCACCAACCTTCCACCTCTAACCCCACCTCAAATCCCAACTCAACTTCCACCTCAGCTCCTACCTCAGGTCCCCATTATGTTCCCTCCTGTTGATCATGCAGAAGGAGGAGATGAAAACCAACCCCATACCTCAGCCCACAATTCAACTTCCACTACCAATCAAGACGTAGTGACAGCTCAGCTTGCTGCCATGCAGCAACAGTTCGGTGTTTTTCAGTTGGTACTGGCTCAGCTTTTAGCCAGAAACAATCCTGGTGA